CTTAAACACACAAAAACTTAGACTGACATGAAAAAGGACCAACTAAATCTTAGGTTTTGTGTTTTGATTATGTATAGTATGATTATGTATAGCATTCAGTACCCGCAGCTAGTGAAGAAAATAGATCGCACTGTCAGTGAATGGTTGCCTCGCAACAGACAACCACATCGTGCCTCATCCTCGGCCACAACGGGACTCGAATAAACCGGCCCGGCCAGGCCACAAGTCCGCCTCAGATCGCAGACTTGGGCCGAATGGCAGTCGATTTTGCCCAAACCGTGGCTCCGGCCTCTCGTCGAAAGTGGGCAAACTTTATTGCCTTCATTGCCTCCCCTCATTATTGGACTCACGACGATGCAGATCGCCTGACTCCCTTCTCGAGTGAGCGCATGCCTTCTCCTCTCGAAGGCTTTCCCCATTCCGAGGCTTCACCTCGCCCTTCCGATGCAGTAATTGCACTTAATTATATTCCGGTATCCTCTGTCGACTCACAGCTTGGCATACAATCCCCCCAACGATCAATCGGGGCGGGAGGCAATGTCTTCTCGTGATGGAGTAAGGACCAATCACGTCTCGCCAAACGGCCGCACAGCCTCCAATCGTCCATCCCATCATCACAATCAACTCGTACCAACGCCTCCATGACTGTACGTTTACGGGAATTCATTTCGTCTTCCTTCCGGAACTGGCCGCCCAGCCTCAACCCCAGCCGCCACACACACGCCCAGTGTTTGTGTGCATAAAGAGAAAGACAGACAGACATGACGAAAGCAAGAGAGCGACAACGAGACAGCGCCCTAAAAAGGATCTCAATTTGACTTATCAATATCTACATTTTGTCCTAGTTTAGATTATCATCTCTACAAAATATCACATGTTCTTTGCTTCCTTCCGATCAGTATTTTCACAGATTCTCGCACACAAACACAAACAAGGATAGATTTGCACTTGTCAAAACCTCCATGTGTGTTCATGTGTGTGTGTGTGTATGTGTATGTCGTCTTTTTCTATTCGCCTGGATGCGGATCCTTTGTCTGCAAGTGTATACATTTGTTCGTTTGCGTGTGTGAATGGAGAAAGAGCGAGTGAGCGAAGGAGAGGGATGGAGCATTCACACTTATCTGACTGGGTGTATGTGAATGTAGGTATGTGTGTGTGTGTGTGTGTGTGTGTGAATATAAGCATGTGTCGGGGTAGGGATAATAAATAACGACTTGCTTGAAGGGCGCCTCTATAAAAGTTGTGTGTCTCATAAATCAGATGGAGTACAAGGTTGAAGGTGACGAGGCCGTTTGCGGGACAGAGATTTGAGTCGAAACTGGTTTTTTCGAGGTCTGCGAACTGGGGACCGTCGTCGTTGGAGCCGCCCTGAACACAGTCAATAATGGCGACAGCGCAACAGCTTGTGGGAGATTGTGGCAAGAAGTGGGAAGAGGAGATTTTACCAGCGGAAACTGCTGTTGGCATACAGTCAGTCGTGAAGGCCGCCGAAGCTGTTGTTTCCGTGCCACCCGTCCTCACACCATCGCACACGCACACGCACAAGCCAACTTTGCCGAATGAGAAAGCCGACCGTCCGGGCGTGGTTGGCACCGTGCAAGTGAGCACAATTCGCAGACAACCCAACCAGACATTCTCGCGATGCTGCAAGATTGAATGTCGATAAATGGACAAATCTTAGATGAAGCTTTGAAGTTTTTTTCGCCGCTTAGACACACTTTAGCCTCGTCATGTTGTCATGACAGTCGCAGACGAACGCATCTTGTCCGAAGGCTGAAGCTGGCAAGATCAAATCACGTCTAAACTGCTAATGATGTTAATGACATGGGCTTGGCGACTGCATTAACAATGTTTTGTTTTTTCAATTAATCACCTTACTACTTTCGAATAATTGAGTAGTATTATGAGTATGCATTAGGCTCGTGCAGTTTGAGGCTAGGTGACTGCTCATCCCAACATTTCTCAGCCTCCCCACAGAAGTACCGAACTCGTGGTCCGCAGCCGAATGACTCTCGTTTCCCATCTTCACGCATCACTGCTCCCCATCGCGGCCACATGCGATCGGCTCCGAGGGGGAGTCCGTCACGCCCCTGGCCCTCCAGCTCGAGGCTTGTCGCCGAGTCGAGCTCTTGTCGCATCGGAGCGCCGACAAGGCCATCCATCACTCCCACCCCCGGCCGGCCTTCCGGTACCACATTCACCTCTCGGCGGCACCAGTTGCCGTGCCCCAGCCGACTGTTGACAACGCAGACCTGTCGTGTTGGCGATGCGCTGACGGTTTCTACATGCACTGCCTGTCGCGAGGTGATGACCACTTGTGGCGGTGGGTAGAATGAGATTTGCCGAGTGGTTGTCATGCGATAGGGAAACGCCAATCAAGCCAAGTACCCTCATGAGTCTTGGCAACGGATGAGGCAATAAATAATCATACAATGTCGGCCAGGACTGTTTTTATTCACCGATTGCGATGAGGAATTACTTTGCGCATCATCAGCATCCATCGCATGGATCTTCACTTTTCTTCTCGTGTCGTCAGGATTGCCGCCCGGCGACGGGGACTTGGCCGAACCCGTCGGTTGGCTCTGATGCCGTCTACCAAATCGCGACGGGACGTAGCAACACTTATATTCGTATTAAAGTAGGGTTTCGAGACTACCAGTAAATCAGT